AGCTTGTAGTTTTGCTAAGGTTAGCTTGTAGTTTTGCTAAGGTTAGCCTCTTAGTTTTGCTAAGGTTAGCTTGTAGTTTTGCTAAGGTTAGCTTGCTGTAAACAGATATAGACTGACTCTTCGATACGACTCCAGCTGCTAACAGCTGAAGACCTTCAGCTAGTTTCAGGCCAGGACTATGAGCTCTGACTCAGAGTTCCTTTGGATTTGTTCAAACTCAGGTGACGAGCTACGACTGAACTACCTGTGGAGCCGGTCCAGTTCAAGATGGCTGCCACAGCTAACCCAGACGGTGCTCTCAGAAGGACCAGGCTGATGAGCAGAGGAGCAGGACCTCCTCAGCAGATGTTGGTGACATCCTCAGCAGATGTTGGTGACATCATCACCAGATGCTGATGATGTCACCATGTGAAGGTTTACCTGACAGGTGTGTCGGTCAGCGTACCGGACCTGCCAAACCGAGGGAGAAACCTGACCCGGGATCGTCTGGTTCTGTTCCTCCTGGCTCAGAGAAACTGAAGAGAAGGAAAGATGAACGCTGCTGCGTCTCTTCAGACGTCGGCCATTTTGAACTAGGGTTCTTACCGGTGAGCTGGGCTTTGCTGAGCCTCTGGGAGCAGCTCAGGTTGTCCAGGTCCGAGTCCAGGTCCTGGTACAGCAGCAGCCTGGACCCCTTCTCTGCAGCCGGGCCCGGCTGGTCCAGACGGCACACCACCAGACCGTTCCCACCTGCTGAGATCAGGACCAGGGTGTGGCTTTAATCTACGTTCAGACCCTACAGACTGTAAAAACTTCAGCTACTTTCAGCTGTGTGACCCGTCCACACATCAAAACATTCGGCTGCTTTAGGACACTGCAGCTAGCACAAAATATGTTTATATTTTCAAAAACTTTTACTTTTACCTTTACAGAATGTTCCTGCTGACAACCTTTGTTCTTTGAAACCTACTTCATTTTTAGCTTTTAGCTACCATTCTGCCTTTTTTTAGCTTCTAGTAACCGTTTAGCAAGTCTTAGTTTTTAGTTATTGTATTTGGGTTTTAGCTAGCCTTGTGTAAGTTTTAGCTATTAACTTGTGTTTTACTAGTTTTAGCTTTTAGCCACAGTTATGCCAGTTTTAGCTTTTAGCCACAGTTATGCCAGTTTTAGCTTTTAGCCACAGTTATGCCAGTTTTAGCTTTTAGCCACAGTTATGCCAGTTTTAGCTTTTAGCTACTGTTTTGCCTTTTTTGTTTTAGCTTCTAGTAACCGCTTAGCATTTGATGAAGACGAGTAAATATCAGCTGAACATGAACAGGCAGAGATCATTAGACCTAATGAGCTAAAATCAGAGGAAGAGCTGAAGAGGAGGAGCTGAAGAGAAGCAGCTGAAAAGAAGTAGCTGAAAAGAAGTAGCTGAAGAGGAGCAGCTGAAGAGGAAGACCTGAAGAGAAGCAGCTGAAGAGGAAGACCTGAAGAAAAGCAGCTGAAGAG